GTTACCACAGTCTTTGGTGTGTATACCTCTTTCACAACCATGATTAAAGGACATTTATTACAGGCTGGTTATGTTATTGTCAGTCACAAAATCATTCTCTTAATCTCATCCTCCCCACCACGGAGAAAGGCATGATGGGCTGATCGCTTTTTATTCATCTCTGTCTCCACCTTAGATACAACAAAGTGTTTCTAAGTTAGTAGATGCTCAATATTATTGAATTGAATTACTGTATAGAGAAAGGTATCTTAATTAAATTTCTTCATTTTAATCAACATTTCATGAGAATATTTTAATATATGGTAATAGTGATTACAATAGCAAAATGATGTATAAAAAAAATCATTTGTTACCCTAAAGAAGTCAGCTACATCTGGGGTCTGCATTTAAGTGACCCCTCTATAGTTTGACTCAAAGTATTTAAAAATTCTGTTTCTTAACTAAAAGAAGAGAAAAAAGCATTTGTAATCAGCAATAGCTTTTTTTTTTTTTTAATCTTGCTTTACGTAGATCTAAGTTCTATACCAAACATGTTCTTTGTGGGTCCCTGACGATTCCATGAAATTCTTATTCCTTCTGGGGTACTGTATCTGAGGTTAACACGATTATTGTCTGAAATGCAAGTGGCCGCGTAGCTGCTATAGCTGAGAAATGACCGCATTTCCTTTTAGTTCTCAGCAAGAGTAATTGAATGTAGAATATCTTTCTAAACACTGGATTGTGACAGTGTGTTAACACTCTGACTCTCTCCTAACAGCAGGGCAATTATTTGCTGAGTGGGGTTTTTATCAATCCCCTGGCGCTAGTATGTCCCGATAATTATGACGGAATGCATTGGTCAGCGTTGCTTCAGCGGTCCCTTCCCAGCAAATATTTCATTCCCAGTTCTCCGGCCCACTTTTCCTTTTCCTGTTATTAGAGATCTTTGCTACTCTTCTGTGCTTGCTCAGTGTCTTATTTCTTAAAAAACACTTTTTTTTAAAATTAAAACTTAAAACTCACACGTGTTTTACACAGCCCACCTTTTAAACTGTTTGACTCTCACCGTTATTCACAAATTCTGAATCACGGAGCAAGAAAATCCTTTTTGATTTTGTTCCTTTTCGGGGCAATCGGGGACTCCTGTTGCTGTGTAAGTGTCACCAGCAAAAGTAAAACTTGAATTGTCCCACCTACCCTGTATACTTAATAGTTCCTCATTCCTGGAATAAGCAGTGACTTGGAAATCATGAGAAATTTTTATGCTTATATTTTAAAATATGACATTGAAACACTCATAATTATACTTTGGGCATTATAGGTGCACACAGTCCTGTTTCAAGTTCTTTTTATTTTACAGAAAACTTGTTGAAAAAGTAAACCTCAATAACAAAGAGAAGGGAAAAAAAAATTAAACATAGCTTCCCCCAGGCAATTACAAAATAAAGGTCAGCGTATGAGTGGAAAATGACCATAAAAACCTTCTTTATGAAATAAAATAGCAGACGCTCCAAATATAAAAAAGCATATCCCTTTGTTTTCAAATCCATTGCATTTTTAAAGTACTTTCTCATAGAATGCTTAAGTGCAAGAACAAAAACGGAGAAGAAAAGAGCCAGTGGATAGATTGTTAGAAATATGGAATAGTTCGAATTATTAATGTAACGCTAAGGGTGACTGGGTAACAAATGGTACATTTGCTCGGTGTTCAACCTGACATAATTAATATTCTAGGTCATGCTTAAGTTCCCATGATGGAGGGTCTGGAGGGGGGAATTCAAGAAAAATATATATCTATTATATAACTCATTGCCTTTTTTTTCTTTTTTTTTTTTTGCTTTCCTTTTGACGAGTCAGAATCATAGCCTTTAAAAAAAATCAGTGCTTTCACACCTCATTTGCCGTATTCACCACTGGGCCACCAGTCAGCAGCCGGGCCTGATTCAGGGAGGTCAGTGAGAAGCTATTAGCAGAGGCCTCTCCTGAGATTTCCTGGGTCTTATTGAGTTGAATGTTAGCATGACAGTACTGCAAATAACTCAGTTGTAGGCTTTTTTTTTTTAAACAGTTAGCACAGATTTCCCCATAGTGTTGGTCACTCTAGAAAATTATTGCTGAAAATGAAGTCCCAAAAGCTAGCTTGGCAGTAGCCCTTCTAAGTTGTGAAAAATGTGAAAACTGAAAAATATGTCCTAGTCTCTTAGGATTCACTTTGTCTTTTGTGACTCGTAGTTGTATTTTTAAAAAAATCAACAACAAACCATTATTCACAAGTGGATTACAAATTATGAAATACAGCAATTGAGACAATAGTAAGTTAGGGTGCTTTTATTTACTTGAAGAATAATAATTACATGAATACTGTATCAATCTAAATAAATAGGGTATTTGCTTGCTGTAGGGCTTGAGGGGAGGCTGGAACGTGGTCATTGATGTAAGTTAGCAAATGTATGAAATTAATTTCTAAAATACTGACACCTTGAAGATTTTAAATGATACATTTTAAATTCAATTAAAATATATTTTCTATCTATATTTGATTTAAATTGCAAAGAGAATACACATGAGGAGGCCTCCATATAGGTTGCAAAATATAATTTAAGAAAGCTATCATGTCTACTGATCGATTTGCATTTCCCATCTAGCCTGTGTATACATGTGCATGCAAATGGCGAAGATCAAAGAAGATTTCTAATGCGGGTAAAGTTAATAGCTGGTAGCAGTTATTCAGGTAGATAGATATTTTAAAGCATAAATTATAATCTAGTTAGATTGTATGTATTTTACTACTTAAATCCGTAAGGTTGTGGAAATGATAAACTAACAGACTTCATTTAACTAGATCATCACTAAGCAGAAGGGTGTTTTCTTATATCTCTTTCAGACACTATGTAGATTTTGTTATCTTTTATGTCAAAACAGTCTTTTTAATATAATATTTGTTTTTTTCCTCATTACAGTTGATACATTCTCATTGTAGAAAATCATCCTGAAAATTATCTTAAAATATTACCATCCACTCAAAACTTACTTTCGGCTGAATGCTGTTTTGAATATATATGTATATATATTTTCTTTTATTAAGATCATTTAACTATCTGTTTATATATCCACCTTATTCTGTTAATATATTTAATATTATAGTAAGAGAATGTTAACATAACATTAAAAATGGTGTATAAAATTGCCTATAAATTCCCAACAGATTTTTTTGGTGTTTGTTTTTTTTTGTATAAATTGTAAAGAGGTAAACACATCTCAAAGAAGAGCCAATTCAAAATATTTTAAAAATATTTAAATACGTTTACATTAACTTTGATCTAATAAAATTCAGCTCTCAATTATAACATAGGTGAGTTGGTGATGACTCAAGTAGATCTGTGATAATTTCGTGTCAGTCACAATGTGCTCAAAGCAAATTGAAACACTTGAAACCTACATAATTTTACTAACCAATGTTCACCCCAATAAGTTTAATAAAAAATTTTTAAAAAGAAAGATAAAAAGGTATATAATCTATAACTTCTTTGAAAGAAGGCATAGGATTTTGAAATAAACCTCAAACATTCTACGAAGATATTTATGCGTCTTTGGAAAGCAAGAGGGAAAGAGGTTTCATGGGCCTTTCTGAATGGTGCATTGTTAATCTAGGATGAGCAGTTCACATTCATTTTTTGACGGCCTACTATGTATTCTGCTAGGCCCTGGGGATGCAAAAATACCTACACCAGAGCCCCTGTGCCCAGCTGCTTGGGTGGGGAAGATTGACACACACAAAGATAATTATGAAACAATGTGATAGGTATTGTGATAGAGTTATCCTCAGGCTATTAAGGAGGCATTAGGGATAGGGAACTGAATCTAGTCTGAGTTGGTATTAGATAGAGGTGGACACTTATTGTTGAAAGTGTTGGGCTAGAAATATAAAATTTTCTAGGATAGTTTTTCAAAGACAACTATCCTAGTTAATCATAATACTTTGGAACTGTTTATTCCAGCAGGTAAATATAGCAACCAGAAATATTTATGGATGTGATGGTGGCATAAGAGGAAAGCACATTTTCAAGAAAAACAGGTTCAATAGATGCATTCTTTATATTAGAGTGTCTACAGAGCAACCCAACAAGTCATATTGTCCTTTAAAATGTAACTTTTCCTTATGAATATGCATTTGTATATATTAAAAGAGTATCAAAATGTGGTTTTATATTCAAATACCATTGAATTATCACAAAATGGACATCTGCTGAACTTGAATTTAACATGTGTCATATATACATCTATTGAACCTCTGCTGCATAGCAGGTGTTGTGCCAAGTAAGTCTTGACTATTTTGACACAGTGTGACAAGGTCAATGATAGAACAGCAAGGGTAATGTGACACTACAGAAGTACAGTCTCAAACCACATGAATACAAAATACAGGACATTATTTTGAATGATACTATAGCATGTATGTGTGTGCCTATGTATATGCACTTTGATTATTATTTTAAAGTACTTGAAACAGCTTCCATTAATTAGGTTGTGTAATAAATAATTACTCAAGCAATCAAATATTTATTGAGTCCATATTTTGTACCTGAAACTGGTTCAAACATTATATATTTGAGTTTGTGTGAGTGAATATGTGATTTACAGATACGGTTACATGTACATATGTATAGTTAATAGTTAGAATATAAAATGAATGACTTCAGGTCCTGCTGCTTATTTTTTTCATAAGTACAATGATGGAAAATAGGTCCTGTGTGGCAGATAGGAGCTATATAGCTCAGCAGTTTTTAGCATATTTAGTCTTCAGCCTCGAATGATTCTGAAGTTGTTGGTCTGGAGTGAAGACGAGGCACGTGTATTTTGTCATCTTCGATAAATCTGAAATTCACCTCTAGTTTCAGAACTATTTTAGGTTTAAAATAGTCCTAAAACCAATGAAGACTTTTCGGGTTCCACTTCAGCTTCCTTTTATTTTGTGTGAAAATGAAAGATAAAGAAATCAAAAATAAGTTCTCTTTCTTTAGATTCCAGGTATATACAATTCGCCGTTCAGAAAGGAACCGGATCCGTGGGAGCTGAGACTACAAAAGGCAAAGCCTCTAACGCCCCGGATGCCTCAGGTGAAGCCGAGGCGCTCCATCCACCTTAGCAGCTGGCTGGCGAGTACCAGTGCGCGGTCCTTTCCGCGCTCCGACGTTCTGCCGCCCATTGACAGGAAACAGTGTCAGGTACTCATTGTCCCTGTATGAGAATCCTGCCTATCATGGTATCCTCGCTGGGTTATTTTTCTTTGTTTGCTTGTTTGTTTTTAAGTTAGTGTTGTTTTGTCTTTGTGACAAAAGAGGAAAATTATTTTTTTAACATAATCTAATTTGAAATAATAAATATAAAGTATGTTTAAAATATGCATCAAGGAAGTAATCAAACATTTCTCTGGCAGTGAACTTGATTATTTTCACAATGAAGGTAACACACAGGGTTTGGACCTAGGATCTAGCCTTTTAACATAAAAAGATTGTTATGGCAATCTTTGTTTTATAAATTGTTGCTAGAAAAATCAAATATATTTAATTTAACCTCTCATCTGATGATCCATATCTTTATATACAATTGTAAACATAATTTAGGTTTGAGTGATTTAAAAAGCGTAAATTAAAGCCCAAAACAATACAAGATTCAAGCAGAGACAAGACGTATCTTCTCTATGGATTGGAATAATGCAGGATTGGCAAATGACTTTCTAGGGCTAAAGGTGGATTGGGATGTGTTGGGTGATGATTGTCACTGTTTGGAAAGCACCAGAGAGCCGCAGTTCCATCTCTTCATCAGCATTTAAACTGGACTAGACAACTGCCACCAGGTAGCATCAAGCCAGAAGTGGATTTATTTTCGGTTCACACTGCCAAGCTCCCCAAACTCCTAACTATTAGTTCCCTGCAAACGGTTGCGTCTGTTACTCTTTTGCTGTGCAATCAGTTACTCCAAAACCTGGTGGCTTAAGCTAACACACAATTTTTTACCTCACCATTTCTGTGGGTCAGCATTGTAGGTACAGCTTAGGTGAGTGCCTCCAACTTAAGATCTCTCCGAAAGGTGCATTCCAGGTGTCAGGCAAGGCTGTGATTCCATAGGGAAGCTCAGCTGTGCAGAGAATAGGGTGGGGAGACCCATTTTCAAGGTCACGCTGATGATTGGTAGTTTTTATGTCTTCAAACATGGCAGCTGGCTAAAAAAGAGTGAGAGCTCTCAAAACAGAAGCCACACCTTTTTATGACCTAATGCCACAAGTGACATCCTATTCTGCCATGTCCTGTTTCTTAGACACGAATAAGTCTGGTCCATACGAGGGCATGCATACCAGGAAGTAGGGATCCCAGGGGCCATCTTAGAGACTGCCTTTCACACACTCACCCATTTGATCAACCTTGTAGTAAGACAACCTGCATTCTATGCCATAAAATAATTATTGCTCTAATTATTTGTGGTGTTTTGTGTTTCTGCTCTCCGTAATTGGGTCCCTAATTCCCTTTATTTGTGCATATTTGGTCTCTCAAAATTACTAACAAATAATTAGTACTATTAACGGATGGTTTATACTATATTATAGAAAGAGCTGTAAAAAAAGACTGAAAAATCTATAAAGATAATTTTCCCCCTGGACTCTTTCTCTTTTTCCTCCTCCCTAACTCATTTTATAAGAAAATCTTTTTATATCAATATTCTTAATTACCTTTAAACTAATCTATTTATCAAAAAAAAAAAGACATAGAAGATAAAAATTCTTCCTGTTTTTGAAATAAAGTGGCAAGCAAGATGGAATTGAGCAAGGGAGCAAATAGAGATAATGGGAAATATTTTAATTTATTTTGGAACATGTCTTTAGAGTATGGTTTCATTGTTCCTTTCAAAATATGGGTTATAACAGTATTCCAATAAAGGCATTTAAAATAGTTTTAAAGTCAAATATAAAATGAATTTTATATTATAAGTAACTAAATTGTTTGCCATTTGACTTATGCAAATTACTGTTTCTATTAATGCAAGTAATGGTTTTATATAATGCCATCAGAATGAACAATGCATGCATAGTTATTTTATAGAGAAAATAACTCTAGTACCTCCATTTCATGTGTATCAAGTGTCCAATGGTTGCTAAGTATCAGATAACATTGGATATTGAATATTTAATGTTCCATATTTCATGCTATATTCACAGGAATAGGTGTAGGTACTATGTGGCATTTGTAGAGTAATTCTACATGCAACTAATTAGGACATGTGAAAATTATATGGAATTAATATGTTTTGGGCATATACATGTTTCTGTGTTGGGAACACTCTAGAGGTCATTCAAACCAAACTGCCACACTGTGACCAATATCCACAATGCTAACCATGATGCATTTAATATTAGCTTATATGGGTTTTATAATATTGACATTTCACATTAGCTTCACTGCTTTGATTTTTTTATGCTTTCATAATATGGCTTATTTTATACTGGTTTGTATTTACTCTTCATCCCTATTAATGCACTTTTTTCAATACATCCACTTTTATTACATCACATGGCTCCCCCATGCCATTCTGTTTATATGTACGTTTATACACATATGTGTATTTAGTATAACTGGAATGAATATGAGACATATTATACATATAGCTATATAAAAGATATATGTGGACAATATGTATGTATATATATATATATATATATATGTGTGTATATATATATATATATATATATATATATATACCCATGTGGAAAATACAAATATATATATTTATATAAATATATATGTATACATATATATATTTATATAACATGTAGAAGATATATATGTATGATCATATATGATGGGGTGTTTTCTAAAACCAATGACCAGTTCCCTGATTCTCTGGCTACCAACTGGGTGTCCAGCAATTCAACCAGTTAGGAAAACTCTATTAAAATTGTAATACTCAATATATATCGATAACAAAAGATGAATCACGTCACATTTGACTTTTGCAATTACAAGAGGTGCTCAAAGTGGTTACCACTGCAGTGATTTTAATACAGCATTTTTCCTTTCTTAAAACGTGTGTACATTTTTTTGCCACCCTCTGTGTATAGCATATAATATGAAGATACAGAAAATATATATACATTTATATAAATATATATGTGTATTTATGTATGGAATATAGTATATATATAGAAGATTTTGTATGTATTATATATGAATATATACATATATACACATACATATGTGTACGCACACACACACGCACGCAAATTGCATTTATCTAGCATACCAAAAATTAATGATCCTTACTAATTTTTTTTCCCTGTTCCCTCCTTTTTTCTTTTTTGTCCTTCTTTTCCTCTCTCCTTCCTTCCTATTTCTGGTCCTCCTCCCACCCCTCCACCCCATCTCGTCCTCCCTTCCTTCGCATTCTTCCGTAATCCATCTTTCTTCCCACCTTATCCTGTCTTCCTTTGGCTCTTTCATTCTCTCTGTCTTCCCTTCTTTTTTCTTTTTCTTTTTTCTCTTTTTTTGTTTCCTGTTTTCACAGAATGGGATTTTTAATATTGTGGACTAAACTGCATTTTCTATATGTAAGCTAATAATAAAAAGGTATATACAACATTGAGGAGATATATATGCCATAGCCCAGATGATAATATTTATACTCTGACAGCCTGTCTGTACTTGTGGAGTAAATTTCTTAAATGTGTGAGACAATTGTTGTAAGTTTAAGAAATAACTTCATTGTTATTTAACCTTTGAGAAAAATTTTAAAATGCCAGATGACTGTAAAATACCATGGGCTATTAAGAATGTAAATATATTACACTCATAATTAGGATTTGGTTGGAGGCAAAGGAAGTCAAACTTTGGTAAACTACAATAGCTAGGAGTCCAAGGAGATGTACAGTTTCAAGTTGAGGCCTGGATGGTCTGGGCTTTCTAAGGATCACTATTTGGAAATGAGTACAGTAAGCAGATCTGAAGTTTGAAGCTATGTCCAAAATCTGATCCCATGTCACTCCAGACATGATTGATATAAGTGATCACTTGGGATGTAACAGGCAGTCAGTCTACCAACAGAAATGCAAATTAACAGCACATTCTCTTTGCTTTGGCAAAGAGAACCCGGACAGTACCAGGGAGGAGGGCTATTGCGCTCAAAGGCAAGACACTGATTGTCTTTAAGATAGAAACATAGGGACCGGGCAACTGAAAGACATAGAAAGATGGACATGATTACAGGAGGATCCGTGTCACAAAGGCTGTAGTGAACCTCCAAAGGATGACTTGAGTCTGTTTTTAGTCTAAATTTTGCTGCTCAGGTAAGGTGCCTCCCCTTTCATGTCCCAGTCTCATTGGAAACAGTAAGTCACAGAACAAGTAGTGGGGTTAGCCTACAAATGGATATGTGTTGTGCTGATACACCAACAAATGTTAGAAGGCAGAGCTTGGCTGCCGAGAAGACCACTACGCCTTGAGAATACTGACCCCTTCAAAGTCAGAACCTTGGCTGTTTGCTTATACTCGTATATTTGATGCTGCTACTCTTTAAAATCTTTTTCAAACTCCTCTTGAAACTAATAATAATAGTAGTGAAAATAATTATAAAGCCTTCGGTATCATTTTTGAGTATTGACTGTGTTTTAAGTACAATGCTAAGTGTTACATTATCTTAACTTATGTTAAGGGCAATTTTGTGAGATAGTTATTATTCCATTATGTATACATGAGGAAGAAAGGTCTAGAGCAGTAATTTGTCCCTGATAAAAAAAACAAATATTAACTTTTAAAACAGAATTGGTCAAAGTAAAAGATTAAGAACCTCTAAAATATATGTGTGTGTGTATGTATATGTATATGTATATACATATATATGGAGATGATAGATAGATAGATAGATAGATAGATATAGATACATCCCCATGTAATTTTTTAATAGTGAACTTGGAACCATGTTACTGTATCTTTAAAAAGTAAAGTTCCAATAAAAATCCATTAACTACTTTCAAATATAACAATCCTCCTGTCCAGCTGTGAAAAGTACTAGATGATACTTATTTGCCATTTGTGTTATTTACGGTCCATGACTTTTATGGTAACTGGTTCCTATTATTGGTTTCTATTAATGTAAAACATAAGTGAACATAAATGAGGCGTGAATCATTTCTTTTTATTAGCCCACAGTCTTCACTCAGTGCTTGCAGTAACTCCAGCTGTGTCTTGTTAGTGATAACCTATTTAAAGAAGAGATCTTTTAGGATAAGGAATATGATTAGAAATTTTTGTCCATTTTATATCACTTCTCTCCTGCACAATAGTATTGAAAAAAGAAAACAATATGTAATTGATGGCACAGCAATATCTCAAGCCACCTATGATTTGTATTGTGCTCTATGTGATACTAATTAGACAGCCAGTGGATCCTAGTGACTAGTATAAGTAACTACTAATTTAAAGGTAGGATATGTTATAAATCATTTTTTCACAATTGCAGCTTCTAGAGTTTCATCTGCTATATATTTGTGTGATTAATTGGTTGCTATTATATCAAAGTTATTAAGCAATAAAATTTAGAATTTTAAATAAAGAACATTTAAAATAATTAAAAATAGGGCCCATCTATGTTTTGGGAGACAACTAATTAACTATAAGATTTGACATTCACTTAAAAGCTTTATTTTAATGAAAAAACACTTGCTATCCTATTTCTGTTTTTTGGTGTACTCTCTGGAGGCTATGCTCTGGATCATTTTTAATATCTTATTCAAAAAGAAGAGCATTCTTTTAAAATTATGTTAGAAGAAACATGCTTTTTAAAATTAGAAAGTAAAGCAACCTATAACTACAAGTTTACCAGTTCGAGCATAAAAAGTCTTTTGATGTGAGGACAGTTCTGCTTAATTTAAAATAATTTAATATAATCACTTATAGTTGTGTGAACGTTTCTTGAAGATGTGTATTCTTATGTCATGTATTTTCTAAATCAGGAAAAAACATATTGTTCCTTTAAAATAACTTAGTAAACTTGCTATTCTTTATAGATATTCAATAGCCCTGGTCATTAATAATATGATAAAAAAAATTCTCCATAATAAAATATTTACCTCATCCTTTCTTATCAGGGACCCTTCCGTGACATCGCTGAAGTATTGAAACAACGCTACAAGCCTTTGGAGCCAACTTTGCGGATGGAAGAACCAATCAGCGAGTTGAAAGAGGCCAGAGAGGACTTCAGAAGACAGGAACGGACCAAAAACATTCATGACAATATGTGAGTTCTCAGCTAGAAAAAATAGCTGTACCATGTTTGGTGCCGGAAGCTATCTAATATTTCCTATTTCCTAATATTTTAGCTGTGAGAAAAGGTAAAGTTGCCATTGACCTATCAGAAGCAACCATTTTTAAACATGCAAATATTTTAGGTAAGGTCCACATTGATGACAATATTGGTATGTTGTGTGTGTGTGTGTGTGTGTGTATTTTATCACACCAGCCATATTGGAGTAGGGGAGCGCCCTACTCCAGTATGACCTCATCTTATGATATCACTATCTTTAATATGTTCTTTATATATTTTTTCCTTTTTTTTCTCTCTTTTCAACATGTTCTTTAAAATAAGCATAGGAAGTAGAACAATAATATTTTACACATAAAGTATGGATTACAGAGGGGTCTTTTTGGAAGCCATCTTAAAGCTTTAATTGTTTGTTCTTGTTCTTAAAGAAACTCACTCCATTTTTCTCAGACCTTATTGAGGGAAATGATTTTCCTTAATCATACGTCCTTGTGAAGCCAGGATATTACATAAGCAATTAGTAAGTAATCGCTGAGTAACTTTTATGTGAGAAGCTCTTAGCTAGATGTTGTGAGAAATATTGTCAGTAACTGTTTACATGTCAGGAGTAGTTCCAGGCCCTAGCGAGACTGCACTGAGGAAAATAGACAGTCTGTGCTCTAATGGACCTTCTGTGCTTCTAGCTCGAAACTGAACCAGAAAATCCTAATCAAATTCTGAGGCACGACCATAGGTAAGCCATTCAAAATGGCCACGTGTGTGTGAAGGACCATAAGTGCCATGATTTTTTATTTTTCTTCATGTAGGGTTTTCTCTGATCTCTGATGATCTAGGTTTTGATAGGGAAAAGAAGAGAAATGATAAAAGCAGGTTGATTGTATGAAAAAACAAAAAAGTAATGGTAGGAAAAGCTCACTGGACAATGAGAAGACTGATTTGACAGAAACTAATTTTTACGTGAAATACGGTAGAAAGAACAATTGTGTGAGTCTTCAGGGCGAAGGGTTTGAGGGTTTATCGGTAGATAATGGAGAATTATTCAGTGCTTTTGAGTAAGAGGATGTTATAAAAAGAGCGTGAATTTGTTGATTGAGAGACAGGTGTGTTTAAGAAAAAATATGCTGCAGGGACTGAAACCCATTTGGGGACCATTGCAGTCATTTTGGTGGAAGTGGTGGGATAGAACTAAAGTGACGGCAGCGTTCTATATGCCACTCTTTCTTTACTTTCTTCTTTCTTTACTTTCTCCTTTGGACACATAATCTCTCTGATCGCTTCTGTTTGGAAGACTTCAACTGCTACCTCTATGCCAATGATCTCTACTCTCTAAATCTCTAAGGCCTTACTCCTGCATTCCAGATGTATATTTTCCACTGCCATCTTTGTGTGCATCTCCACCAGATGCCCCAAATTCAGCATGTCCCAGTCGGCCCTGATTTTTTTGGCCATGAGTGCACTTTGCAGCACCAACCATCTGCCTAGGGAGGGACTTGTGAGTTACCCTGTTCTCCTCGTCTAGCACTGTGCTGGTCCTCAAATCCTGTCTTTTAAATATCTCTCAGGCTCAGCCTCTTCTCTTCCTGCCTACTGATACTCAAACTTAGGCACTTCCAATGTCTGCTTTTAATTGCCCAGCCTTACTCCCGTTCAGCGTGTTACCATAACACCAGAGAAATTTAAGCAAGCAGTTATTCAGCCAGAATGCTTTCTCATGGCTTGTTATCAACTCCAGGAAAAAAACGTAATTCCTTATTTCAAGATACAGGCCATTCAGGATCTGACCCAGGCTCCTTTCCTCAGCAAATCTTCGTCCACGTTCTATAGGAAACTCTGCTCTCGAGCGGCTGAGACGCTCCCATCCCGCTTTCAGCTCATGTTTTCTTCTGCTTCCATGAAGGAATTTTCTACCTCCCTGCTTTATTCAATCTGCTCAAACCCACTTGAAAAAGAATAAAAAAGGATGGCTTACTTTTTAAAAACTTTTTAATAAACACGATATTTATTGTAAAAACTTTAAACATTGTAAAGCGGAAGACCCTCCGGTATGTGTTTTAGAGGCACTGGTGTTAACCACTTATGTCTTACCCAGACATTTTTTTTTTGGCATAAACAATTAAATATGTATATATTATTTTAAAATAATACGCTATATTATTTTAAAAAGGCAAAATGTTATACACACTGTACTTCCTCTTTATAGGAGATTGCAGTCAGAGAGAATTTTAGGGTTTTTTTCAGAGGGTATTTTAAGGACTATTTTCAGATGTGAAATGGGACAGTGCAAGTTGCCTAGATCAGTGGGGAAAGAAGTCGTTGTTATTAGAAGGCGGGAGAAATGGAAGGCCACAGTGGCACCAGAGCTTTCCAAGTAAGTGTTTAATTTACCCATCACAATGGCAGAGATGGAAAAGAACAGGTGATCATAAATCAGGTGATACAGGCTTCCGTAAAGTCTTCCGAGAGTAGCTGAGGTCCTTTAAGTTAATATCTTCTATTAACTGTAAACATCGTGGCTTAATCCTGGAGACTATAATTCCGCAGGCTACAGCCATATCCACAATGGAGTGGTGGTAGGACATGGCGATAGAAGCCAGCGTCCATCTGTGTTCTCCGAGGCAGAATAACAGCCCCTCCAGAGCTGACACCCTCATCCCAGGCTCCTGTGACTCTGACCTTCTATGATAAAGAGGACTTTGCTGATGTGGTTAAGGCTTTAAAATTGGGGAGTCTGTCCTGGATTATCTGGGTGGGCCCAGTATTTTCACAAGTGTCCTTAAAAGTGGAAGAGGGAGGCAGAAAGGTATTTGACTCCATCAAAGGTCACAGGGATGCCATTGTGACAGGGACTTTGAAGATGGGAGGAGCGGGCCACAATCAAGGAAAGCCGGCAGCCACTAGGAAATGGGAAAATTAAAGCAATGGATTCTCCCCTGGAGCCCCCAGAAGGAATGCAGCCCTGCCAGAGCCTTGATTTTAGCCCAGCGAGACCCATTTCCAACTTCTGGCCTCCAGGATGCTAAGCTAATAAATTTGTATTCTTGAAGCCATTAAGCGTGTGGCGATTTGTTACAGCAGCAATAAGAAACGAATACGAATGTTCCTCAATCAAGGAGTTACCTTGCTAGATCAGGCTTTGGTGTTCAGATGAATTATGAACCTGAGCCACACTTGACGGAAATCCGTGGACCCGCAAGGATTCATGATTCTCCTGCAGGTTGAGGGTGTGGGCATTTAGAGGATTAAAGAAACTCGGACTGTGCCTTGAGCTCCCCTATCAAGAGACGTTTATGATTGACTCATATTGTAAGGATATTGTATTTTGAACTGGTACAGGCTTTCGTAAGGACCTGAGTTCAGACAGCTCAATAGCTGTCTCTACATCTTTTTAAAAAATAAAAGGTGTTAATTTTTTGATAGTTATTGGAGGGGTGGCCAGGCTTTACAACCTCTTCAGGTCTTCTGCTGGGCCTGAGAATTAAATTGCCATAAGACAGATTAACAGGACGAAAGCATACAGATTGATTTAAGTTTCACATGATGCAGGTGCCCTCATAAGGAAGTGAAAACCCAAAGACGTGGCAAACCCTAATGCTTACGTATTAGGTTGAGCAAAGACCAGCAGTTGTTTAAAAAGTAACTAAAATATTTGGGGAGGTCAAAGGAAGATAAAAGTTATTTAAGGTCTGTTGGTACAGAGTTCTCTCGGCCTTGACTCCCCCATATCTGATGATAAGAATGTTTTCCCCCTCCCCGCAGAGGAAAGGCACCTGTCATATGGGAGTGTTAGCTCCTGATTTTAGGGTAAAAAGCAGAGCCCAGGTCCCTTTCCTTGGACCTGTTGTTTTCAAGTACCTCTAGCTCAAAATACTCCTCTGCCAAAGTGGCATTATTGGCGGTTGTGTTCTGCCACCCTTCATTGTGCAGAGTAGGTGAGATGAGAGACACCCTTGGAGCATTCAGCGGCAAAGCGGAACCAGCAACTCAATTTCTTGAGCACCTACTGTGTGCTTAGTAGCTACAAATCTTATGTATTTGCCTTCACTTCCCTCAGATTCACCATCCAGCTCAAGCAGAAGCCTTGGTAAACAAAAGAGTGCTCATTTTTCAACCCTTTAAATATTGTTTCTAGTTAAGTATTGGTACCATTTCATAGACAAGCACCATAGAAAAAATGTAGGAAAGGTTAAGAAATGAGATCTTCAAAACAGTTTTTAAAAAGGGCGATTGAAAAAAAATGGGATATATGTATATAGAAGAGATCTGGGTTCCACTTATCACTAAAGAACGTTGGTAAGGAAATTTACTACCTCTCCAAACTTTTTTTGACTTTTGTGATTTTTTTTTCCAAACACTTTATAGACCTTTCCAATTTGCATATTTTCTGAACTGTTATTGTATTATGATAAATAGGGATTATCATATATTTTCAGAGAATGTGTTCTTAACAATTCAACTTTTAATTTGTGCCTCTTCCATTTATTTTAATTACTAGCACAGTGTGCACCATTTATTAATCAGCACAGCCTTTTTAAGTTAACATACCGAATTAGCTAACCCCATTAACACAGAATACTCCAAACAAGCAGTAATAGGAGAGGTAGTTACTGTGCAAATCGCATTACACATGCGGGTGCTCCAGGGCACAGTTAAGCATGATTACCCTCTTTTGATCCGGTATCCCTCTGCCTCTCCCAGCTAATTTCCAGTGGAAATTTACAAAGTGCTGCCTTCATTTTTCCAGCTTAATTTTTCTAATGAAGTTCTGGTACTTTGTAACACTGGGGATACAGATAATAAGGCTGTATATAATTAAGAAGTTCTAGAATTTGTCTACAAAAGAGCCCTTTATTAGTTTGGCGGTATAGTGAGAGCTGTGCTCTCTTTTTTTGTCCACTGTTTCCTTGAAAAGAAAAAAAAGTGTAGTTGTTTTGTTTGTTTGTTTTAAATACATGACCCCAGAGTACTGGAATTCCATT